TCTTTGACTGCTTTAATTTCTGTGTCACCTACATTCCAAGTGGTCACAACCAACGGGCGGACGCACTCTCTTGGAAGCTAGAGTACTTGCGTCCAGAGGATTAACTCCCACTCCGGACGGTGCTGCCCGTAGAGTCGTTCTCCACTGTGCAGGAGCTAGTGGACTTACGGGCGCAGATACAGGAGGTGCAGTGGCATGATGCTTGGGAGGATCAGCGGAAGTAAGATGTGGGACCCAACTCGCCGTGGTCATTTGAGGAGGAACTCTTGCGCTACTGTGACAAGCTCTATGTCCTGGCAGGGCCGCTCCGGGGACTTATCTTGTTGCAGTGCCACGACAACCCTGCAGCGGCACACTTTGGCCTTTTCAAGATGTTGCACCACGTGTCTCGGACTTTCTGGTGGCCCCGACTATGACACGACGTGCAGTCACATGTGATGTCTTGCGTGCGATGCCGGCAGGCCAAGTCGGTGACAGGGGCTCCCCTGGGATTGCTCCAGCCCTTGCCAACACTGGAGAGACCTTGGGGTGCCCTGTCAATGGACTTCCTGACAGATCTGCTCCTCTCATCATGATTCACCACGGTGTTCGTGGTGGTTGACATGCTGACCAAAATGGCGCACTTTGTTCTGTGTCGGGGCTTACCCACGGCTCGCTCCACCGCCCGCATGTTTATCCAGCACATCTTTCAGCTACATGGAGTCCCGGATCAGGTGGTGTCGGACCGAGGGACGCAGTTTACCACCCAATTCTGGAAAGGGCTGATGACGGCTTTGGACGTTAAAATCTGTTTGTTGTCTTCTCACCATCCGGAAAATGACGGCAGGACGGAGAAAGTGATTGGGATCCTGGAGCAGTACCTGCGCTGCTTTGTCAATCAGCAACAGGATAATTGGGCGGACTATTTAGCGGTCACAGAGTTTGCGTTCAATAACTCACAGCACACCTCCATGCAAACCACCCCGTTCCTCACCAATGTGGGCTACCACCCTCGGTTCTTCCCCTTGACGCCACTCGACTCACTGGTTCCAGAGGCGAAGGATTTCTTGTCTGAGTTGGTCCGTTCCCTGTAGAAGCAGTGATCAACCCAGTTGCCTACCGTCTGACATTGCCTCGCTCGCTATGGGTCCATCCGGTTTTCCATCACTCCCTTCTGGTTCCCGAACAGCTGGCCTGTCTGCTCTGCCAACCTGACCCTTCCCCGCCAGCACCACGCAATGAAGAAGGTCCGTTGGAGTACGAGGTTGCCAGTATTCGAGACTCTCGATGGATGAAAGGGCAATTCCAATACCTGATCGAATGGAAGGGGTACGGACCGGAGGTGTTCACTTGGGAGTATGCGACTTACATCCATGCTCCAGCTTTGGTGGACGCATTTCACATGCAATTCCGGTCCCGGCCGCATCCGGACCGTCAGACCCGGGGGAAGGGCGCTGTGGTGAGGCATAGTGTTGTGGTTAGCCAGCAGCAGGTGCGGATGGCTGAGGAGAGCGAGGACTCAGATGAGAGGCCAGGACCATTAGGGAGTGGACTGCTGCCTTCAGAGATTGTGGGGGCTGGCAGCAGCAATGAGGAGGTTCCAGAGGAGCCTGTGCCGCGTGCGCGCAGGGCTGCTTGTAGGAAAGAACACCTGCAGCAACACAGGCGACTCAGGAGTAAGGCTGCAAGGTAATGGCCCCTCGTTCAAGAAGATAAAAGCCAGCTGTGAACCATACGTTCTTTGTAGGAAGCAAAAATATTCTGAAACTCCAGCCTCGTGGACATTGCAGTATCTTAGTTGGTATTTGAAGACTCTTGTGTTGTGAAATATTTCTTATCTGTGATTCTTGGCAGCCTCGCACAGTTTTGGCGAGGCTTGTGTTTATCAAAGTTAATTAGTTTGCAGCAGCCTTTTAACCGGGGATTCGTAAGACTCATTAAAAGGTTTCTGTTCCCTTTGGTTATTGTTTGTTTTATTGGAAAAGCGTTTGAGTCAGAACACTCCATTGGAGAGAGCCAGACTGATATTTCCCTATACTGTTGTGGTTTAATTTTTTCCCATACACTAAGTAATGCATTCCTCACATTTCTCATATTTATGCGTTATTTTTCTACCATACCTAAGAAAAGCATGCCAGCCTAATTGTAAGTCATATCCTTCTAATAATAATAACCCGTGTTTCAAATTTACCCAGTCTTTTAACCATGTAAGAGCTGCTGCCTGATGGTATAGTTCCCAGTCTGGAAGTCCAAAGCCCCCATTATTTCTAGATTCTTTTAACATTTTCAATTTTATTCTCGATTTTTTACCTTGCCAAGTATACTTCAGAGTCATTTTTCTTTTCTAATTTTATCAGTATTGTTTGAAATAAAAAGTAGTTTTTGTAGTATGTTCATTTTTACGACTGCTATTCTTCCTATTATTGATAACTGTAAATTCTTCCACCTTTTCAGGTCCAATTTAATTTGGTGTATCAGTTTTATATAATTATCATCTTTGATCGTCACACACCTTGCTGTTAGATAGATACCAAGATATCTGACCTTCTTTGTTATCTGTAAACCAATTTTTTTCTGTCAATTCCTTTTTTTTTAATCTGTAAGGTTTTTGACTAATACCTTAGTTTTATCTCTATTCCCCGCCACCTCTCCATATTCCTCAATTATCTTTATCAGTTTGGGGCCAGTTTCTAAAGGTTCTTCTAATATAAATACTAAATCATCAGCGAATGCCTGTAATTTATACTTTTCATTTTTAATTTCCATTCCTTTTATCTCTAGGTCTAATCTAATATTCCTGGTTAAACACTTTTTTTCCTTATTAGTCTTCAACACCTTGATAGTTGACCACTGCTAGAAACCTGGAGCTACCATCCTATGCAGAAGGGCATAGGATGTTGTCTTTCTCCTGAATAAACAGAATGTTTTCTACTTCTTTTATTAAATGTAGAAGCTGCACAACTCTAAATGACTGTGAATACCTGACACCTTAAAAAGCAAAGAACAATAAAGAGAGATTGTGGACTTCTAGAAAAAAAGTGGTTTTCGTTCTCGATTGATTTTTGCACATACTATAGAGAAAATTGATCAAGCCCACGCTTCCCAACTTTTCAAAAGGAATTGCCTGTACACTATGATCAATATGAACACCATTCAACCACTGTGATTTTTTTCTGTTCTGGAATGTTGTTCAAGGAGAACATCATAACAGCTCACCTCAAACTACAGCCTGGAAAGTGAAATTATTTATACTACAGTAATTAAGAGTGCTGATTCACACACGGCCTCTGAAATGATTATGGATTAGCAATGGATAACTTCTTGCCGGAGACACAGTCTGATGTCAGAGTTCAAGGAAAAAAATTCTGTTTTCAGCTACCAGGTAGGAACAGCGACATCAAAAGGCAAAACAAGAAACCAGGAATGTCAAAAGGGGGTATCAGGTCAAAAGGGGGTATCAGAAAATCCTCTGTGGTTCAGGCTTTGCCCAAAACCCCCTGAAGCCCCACCCATTTTTGATATATGGTCTCCAACAGATTCTTCTAAGGCAGGGGTGGGCAAACTACGGCCCGCGGGCCACATCCGGCCCATTGGTCTGTCCAATCTGGCCCGCCCCTGAAAAAAAATCGCTGGGCGTGGTGTATTGCCCTGTGCCGCGTGGCCCCCAAAGCTGCAAAACAGTGCGGAGCGCTCTCGGGGTAGGAAAGAAAAGAACTTTGCAAAGGCCTCGGCTGGGAGTTCGAAATCACCTTCGAGTGAGACCTCTCCGAAGGTGAGTCCCCGCCGATCCCCCTTTTTTTTCCGGGGCTTCTAGGCTTAAACTTTGCAAAGGCAAAGTTTGCAGGCTGGAGCGTCTTCCCGCCGAGGAGTGGGAAGGGTTCCGCCCGGCGGGCGGGCAGGCTGCTTAAACTTTGCTCGGGCAGCACTTTAAAAGCCTGCTCCCAGCACCCGAGCAACTTCCCAGCAACTTTCGGCTTCCTTTTTCCTCGCGGGTGCTCGCGCC